ACTTCTTCGGGATTATTAGACATCATGGGGTACGTCAATTTCTGTGGGGAATAGTTCATCATAGCTCCGGATCCCCAATAAGGAAATGTTTTGCGGGCTCGGAATAAGAATCTACCCCGCCAGCCGCCCAGAATTTTCAGAACATGTTAAAAGGATTTGTATAAATTTCAAAGGCCCAGAAGCTCTTTCAGATAGAACGCCAGATATTAGCAAAGCTATGAGTTCGTGAAAGCCAGCTACTAGCATAGTTATGAATCCGTGAATTCCGTCAATCCCGCGGGAAATCCGTGAACTCAGAGAAACCAGATCCATGTAAACCGCTTTTTCGGTGTTATTAGAAATCATAGGGTCCATCAATTTCTGTGGGGGGGGGGGAATCCAGCAGAGCCCTGGATCCTCAAAACAAAAATGTTTTGGGGGTTCGGAATAATAATCCACTCCGCGAGCCGCCCAGAATTTCCGGCAAATTTTCAATAGATTTAACTGGCCCAGAGCTTTCAGCTATAAAGCCGGATATTAGCAAAGCTATGAGTTCGTGAAAGCCAGATACTAGCAGAGCTATGACTCCGTGAAATGTTCATTAAATTCATTTGAATTAAACAGCCCTAAGGCCTGAAAGAAGAAATGATATTAATTCGGTTCATGTAAATGTATAAAGCCCAAGGCCTGAAATAATGAGGGATTTCAATCAAATTTACTCAAATGTTACAGGCCCAGAGCCTTCCGCTATCAGGCCAAATACTAGCAAAGGCATGAATTCGTGAAAGCCGCGAAATCTGGTTTTCAATGGGCTTGAGTAGATTTTATTGGCACGAAATTGAATTTCTATCAGCTTTGAATAAGTTTCCAATGGGTGTGTTAAGGTCTTGATTAAATTTGAATAAAAGCATTAATATGAAACAGAATGCCAGCTTCAAGGCTCTACCGAGATTCATGTTTGATCGATTTTAATTGCGCAGCAAATTTGGGATGGCGGCCGCGGTCAAAGAGAATCGTCAGTCGTTGAGGGGGGGGGGCCTATACTAAAAGGGGTGCCACATTATTATAGTATAGCTTCTCAAACCTGCAGGTCTTCCTGTGGGGCCGTCATAAACCAATGTAATTAGCCTCCATGGGACACATCTCATGGTGCGCAATGAATGCGCGCGCAAAGTTTGGCACAGTTGGGATTCCTGCCAGTAGCGTGGAGACACTTCAATATTGTGGCCGCTTGTGTGAGATATGAGTCGCAAATTTTGGGGTACAAAGATGCCAGGACATTAATGGACTCCATTCAACACTGATTTCTGGAAGATTCACCCATGCTTACTCGCTTCGCAGCTCCCTTACGACAACGCTATCGCATTATTTGTGAGTTTTGTGCTCTGGAAGATGCATGTAGCCAGTCTGGCAACTTCAGTTGAGTGAGGCAGCTTGCGAACCTTGTTGCAGGTCACTCCAATGCGAGATCTTGGATTCGGATGCTCTGGGCGCAGCGTATTCTTGACAAAAAGTTGAGTGCAGGGATATGTTAAGTTGCAGGAGAAAGGGGAGACCTGTACTGTTTGCCGTTGGCCGTTGGCTAGGCCAGGAGTTGTTCAACAGGGCGGACCGTTTATCGTTTGCCATTTCTGTGCTTTACGGTCCCGGCTTCAGAAAAGCTACGGAGACACAGCTAACTGAGTTATCTGCTAGTTTTGGTCAGTGCCAGAGACCTTTTGGTCGCACAAATTCCCAACTACACTCCGACCCTTACACTCAAAGCTTGGGAAGGTTCTTCAGACCAAAGACGGCAAAACCCCTTCAGCTGGCAGTGATCACGAAGGTGATTTTGGCATTGGTTACCCTTCTCTACCCCGACTTCCCCACAATTGTCCCAGCAAAGCCTCTTAAAGACCTCTGACGATCGCAATATGCAGCCCTTTCAATTGGTACATAATCTTCCTCCAGAAGTTGTCTTATAATGCGCAGTTTTTGGATTGGGCCGTATGTTACCATCATCATCATGACCATTGCCTTCCATTTTTCTTTTTGGCATAAGCAGCAGAAGGAGTGTCTTCTGTTCTTGTTCATGTTGGATCGGCGCGCGAGGCCTTGGCTGATTTCTACAGCCCTGGGGGCCTCCATGGACCTGGTGGCATTGAGGTGCCCCGTCGCACCTTCCTGAACTAAAAGCTGGAGTACAAGGTACTGCTTGGAAAAGTGGTCAAGGGTCAAAGGTTTGAAGGCTTCAGATATGTTAGAGTTTCGAGTTAGGTCTGAGGTCTATGCGTGTGGCGCCAGGTTGTTCATGCACATTGAAGGGTGGGGATCGTTTTCTGGCGTCTTTGCATGGAGGAGCTCGGCACTCTGTGTAGCCGAGCGGCAACCATGCTCATATTCTGAGCCTTCAAACCCTGAACCACAGGTTCCAAACCCTTAGGTCCCACTTGTATAATCTCAGCTATTTTCCACCGTTATCTAGTGGGCAGGCACCATCGTCAGCTGCGGAAACACATTGGTTTGCTGTCTATCGGCCTACCAGCCGTCGCGCGACGAAGTGGAGGGTAGGGGAGGGTCGAGGGAACAGGTAGTGGCAGGAGGGGAAGGGATGCTTCCTGTTTGGTAGGGCTGGGTGTTCGTGCAAGTGGGTCAAGCGATTCGGGCTTAGGGGTTCATTCGCAAGGCTGCGCGGTTGCTACTGATGCTTCATGGACTCATCAGACCAAGCTTAACTATGAGAAGTCCATAAAAAGCTGTAGTCTAAACTCCTGGCATCCCCCCAATCCCCCTTATAATGTTGCCCTATATAATCCCTGTATTAGCCCCCTTCAAGGAGTTTAATTAGATTGTAGCTGGGGTCATGATGATGCCAAGCCTTTGGGTAGCCTCAGAAGCTAGGACAAGCCCAAAAGAGCGGAAGCAGAACAGAACGTGGGTTTTGACTCCAGCCTTTCTGTCAAGTTTCCCACATGGGTTGTTCTCAAAATTTTGGTTACATATGATTTTACGGCACCCAATATCTAGGGGTAGCAAATATTTTGGGAAGGATTCACATGCTTACATGTCAGGCTTCGGGCTTTGGGCTTTCTGGAAGCCTTTGGCTCTGCTTGGCCCGGTGTGCCGAAATGCATTGGGGTAATATTGGGGTCATATTGGGATAATGGACAAGAGAATGGAGACGACTATATTATTATAAAAGGAATATATAGGGGTTATATACATTTTCAATTGCGCAATCAAATAAAGCTGGCGTCTTTTAAGGTGATGCTCTGGCAAAGATGCTGAATCAGACCGCCGTGGGCAAAGGGCTCAATGTGAGCCTTGGCTGTCTCAAAGCGATCTCTTGGCGGAAGGGTCTATCCCAGCATTTCAAGTCAGTTTTGGGTGTTGTGCAGGAACCTGGAGAACATGTTCAGTTTCGACTCTTTGCTGATGATTTGTTTTCTTGTGATAGATAGCAGGAAGGGCAAGTCCGCGAAGAGGAACCGCTTGTCTGGCTTTGTGCCGTGCCTCGGGCCAGCATGATCTGCAAAGAACCAACTTTTGGGTTTAAAAGGTAGCCATCTCGGTGCGTTCTTCAATTCAAATCTTCGAAACGAGTTGTGCCTTAACTTCATGTCTGGCTCTTCCAAATCACGCTGCGTTTGAGTCTTCAGCTTTCTGGCACCTATGCTCTGCCCAAGAGGAGGGACATGGATTCCCAGTATGCGCACCCCTTGAATTTAACACCCCCCAAGTCCCCTACATGTCCTGTATGTCTACTTGGGGGTTTCCCAAAACTAGGGGTACCTTTTTGGGGATCCCCATAATAAGGACTATAGTATGTTAGGGTCTATATTGGGGTCCAAATTATTTTGGGAAACTACCACTTGATACTTGGCTTCTTGGCCTTGAATACGGGCGGGAAGACTTGCCTGGTTTTGCTTATTCCATTTGCTACTAGGCACAGGGGCCGGCTCTGGGCATCCAGGTGTATTGGTTTCAGATTTACGTTGTTCAGAATTCGGGCTTTGTCTTAGGGTTTAATATTTGGGGTTATACAGGGATAACGGATGAGAAAATAGAAGCTACTATAATATGAGAGGTTATTTTGGGGTCATAGCTCGAGGAGTACTAACTGCGCTGCCCCCACTCTTGGATCCACTCAAGCATCCTGCCTCCCAAGTTTACTAGTACTTCATGGCTATGTGGGGGGGCTCGTCCTCAGTCCTTGCTGAGGGAATTGCAGGGATTGCTATGTCCAGCACCTGCTGGACCATACCCTCCAAACCTGACCTGCCTCATCTGCCGGTGGTCCTGACATGCATAGATGCCTGTAACTAGCGTTAGAACTTAGAATCCTTGTATCATTACCTTGTAGTGCGTAGCCCCAAATGCTATTCTAATCTTTTTCCCCTACATAAGTCAGAGTGCACAGCGAGTTGGAACAATAGTGCCCAAATTCGGGGTTCCCCGTATCTTGCCCCCTGCCGAAGAGCAGAATCATCATCAGCATCGTCATCATCATCATCATCATTATCATCATCATTCGGACTGACCAGGAAAAAGAACCCCTACTTTTTAAAACTATTCAGGGTATGTCATAGGTTGTGAGACCAGCTTTGCGTCGAGAATCGCATGAGTGCTGTGTTTCATCAATTGTGCTCAACACCGGTTCGGAGTTCAGGATAGAGTTTGAACCCTTGTTTAGGCAAAGGTCAAAATATGCGAGAAGCAAGCTTTAAAGCTGTGATCTTTGAGAGCTTAAGAGATTTAATTTGGGAAATGTTGAGGGTCTCCAAATGCGATATGGCTTTTGTGGGGGGCTCCTGTTACTGGACATGCAGGGGAGAGTGCAACTTCGAGTAAATATTCAGTGTACAGCTAAGTAGCAACTTGACAGCGCATGTTGATGAAACAATGCTCGACTCGCCGAAACGTAGCGTGAATCTAAAGACGTCCGCAACTTGTTCGTGTCTCAGCGAAAGAAACAGGCAGGACTGGAGAGGCAGGATCAGGAGTCAACGAGGCAAGCCCCGAACCCTAACTTTCAAGCTGAGGTTTCTTCAAATCCATGACAATGCAGATAAAACCAAGATCGAGGAAGCACCTGTTGACGCATTTGTGCCTGGAAAAGCAGCTATTTGGGATGCCGTCCCTGAGTAGGGCTTGGGGCTTCCACGATCTGGCTACATGTGATTTCCTTAATTTGCAGAGTACCCTGCGGGGGGTCCCAACAAGAAGGATTATACTAGAATGGGGGTCTACATTGGGGTCCCCTTATTTGGGGAAATTACCATTTCTGGATATGCGCCAGAACTTGGCTCTCTATGCATCCCATCAGGCTACTGCTGAGGTCTCCAATAAAGCATCCAAGGCAGGGACAAAATCTCAGGACCATTCATCCGGAAAGGAGAGGGCGATCCTTTATAAGGGACTATAGAGAGTTCTCTGTTTGAAGCGACATCTCCCGTCGCAAGGTTTCCGTTTTGCAGGTAAGGTTGCGGGGTCTCTGGGATTCAGTTTACAAGCTTCCAAGCGGTACGACAAAATCCCTTCAGGCAAGATCATTCTCTAAGGCTTGTGATGCGACCCGTCCGGCTTCTTTGCATGTTTGGGATGCCCATAGCTTGTGGCGCGCAGAGCACGTTGCACAGGAATGCGTGTGAGCATATAGTTTTTGGCTTGGTGGAGCTTCTTGAAATGGGGTCGGTATAAATCAGCAGGCTCCTCGCGCTCAACTACATGAGTTGCAAGCACAGTGGGGCTTCGAACCAATGCCGAACCAAGATCTAATGGTCGCCATCCATGACTTAACACGTCCTGCTATCATATAAGTAGGCACGAGAAACATACACAATGTATGGCCAGTGGATCTTACGGGCATACTGTGGCTTTTCTCCAGTGGTCTGTCTACACTTACACATTTCGTGATGTCTTTTGCAATCCTGATCCCCTTCGCACACCCCACGTCTTCAATCCCGCACCTTTTCTTTTTTGCCCAAAAAAGGCCTGCTGTGTCAAGACAGCGCGGTATGTCCTGTAACACAATGCTGGGCGGGAAATCCAATTCATGAGCATTTTCCGGAATTACTCGTCAGGGAACGGTGCCGAAGATCGTGGGTTCTCCTTTCCAAGGCTTGTACGAAAGGCATAGAACTAAGCCTAGCTTACCTGAGACTTTTGCTTACACCTCCCCTACCCCAAAGCACTCTCGTGTTACTCAGGCGGCGATCTACTACGACTCGAAACTGAGTCGGGAGATTGCTCTGCAAGAGATGCGAGATGCTGCCAAGAGTGACCCGACTGCAAGCACACAGGTGTCTATGCAAGAGTCAACCCTCCGACATTCTTTGACTTCCCGCACTCTGGGCTAAGGAGCCACGGTGATGACAACCACGTTCATGTGTGAAGGGTAGTCATGGTGTGGCTTACTCTTACTGTTACTGCTCATCATCTAAGTCGGGACAGCTGGAGTCTTGGCAAAGAGAGCCTTGGGTGCGGGGTGGACACAAAACGGCTGGGGATACCCAGATACCAGACGGAAGATTTCAACGAAAGGTCCAGCACACACCAAATTAAGACCAAAGGCCTTAGGACAACACCATGGACAAATCCCAAATCCAAGCTTCAGTCCGATTTGATCTATCAGCCTAGGTTAGAAGTTGGTGGGTAAACTAGGAGTCGACAACATAGAGTTCTGGAGTGATCAAGGCTCAACACTACTGCGTTCGTCATTCTCAATTTGATATCACAGTTCAGGTTGCTACTTGTATATTAATAAAGTTCAGCAAATCAAGGCTTGCATGGTTCATGTGAGCTATAGTCTGAAATCCTTAAATGGGGGCTATACAGGGGATTAGATAGGGGACTGCTATAAGGGTTAAAAAGGGGCATACTAGGAGATCAGATGAAGGCTCATGTTACGTCACCTGCACTTTAGATTTCTTTGGTGTGACAACTTGTCATCTGCACCAGCATCAACAATAGGCCAGTATGTGCGGGAGGGGCAGAACCAAAGCAGAGCGGCTGAAAACTTGGACCTGATTCATCCCACCAGCTGAATACGTTTGCGGATAGAAAGAGGCCGAAAGATTTGTTTACTTTGGACACAGAGAAAGCAGTGAGGTCTCCGATCTGAGGAGAATAAGTCAGCCAGTAGTGCTGGGGCGGAGCCACAGGTGTTCATCAGGTGAGTCGCAAAAGCAGGAACCATGCAGAGAGTAGAAACGAACAGAACTAAAACTGGTGATGGCCCCTGAGCTTTAGTAGCAATTTCATGGCGTTCACTATAGCACTTGCAGCGCCCGTCAGATCCTGTTGCCAAGAAGAACAGCTGGCGCTAGTAGTTGCTCAATTCTTGCGGTCTGGTTCAAGAACGTCGAAGTTCTGCTTTAAGACTACGGAGTCCTAGTCTTGCAGCCAGGTGATCCTAAGAGACGAAAAGAGCCAAGAAAGTGATCAAAGCCTATACAAGAGCCTGCAAAACTGCATAAGTGCCTCCATGAACCTGTGAGCGTCCCACGAAAGGATCGTGTGCAGCTCCCAGCTCTTGGCAGCCCTTGGAACGTTAGGTACGAGTTTATCAGACAAAGATGAGGAATCAAACAGCTAGTTCCCTGGCCCCTAGACGGCCCGCCTACTCCTTGCATATGATCCTTACTAGTGCTTTGAATCATCGTGGTCATGGAAGCGAGTTTCAGGTCGGGGAGACGGCTTGGCGAGCTTGATTTCAAATGATGATACCTACCCAGGCTGGGCCAGGGAGGACTTAAACGAATGCAATCCCAGAAGGTTCAGGTAGCCCAATAATTAGTCACTTGTGTTTTGGGTACTGTTCTGCTGAGGGGCAGCCAGCGATTGAATCGTCCCAAGGGGACCATCAAACAGGATGTGTCCAAGGCACGCTAGGCCAGCTGTACTCAAGTTCGGCAGCCGTTGGCGTGCGCGTTTCACTTACTGGCAGTTGGCCCAGTCTTGACCTGCATGGGAGGTTGAGGTTAAATTTTAGGGCATTTGAGACTTCGAGCGAAGCATGGGGCGGGGGCGCGGAACAAGTCAGTCCACCAGTAAAGTAAAGCCTAATTTTTCTGGAGCGACAAGACACAAAAAACCGCCAATTCATGCAAAGACATTAAGACCTAATAGTTTCTCCTCAAAGCCCTCTCGCCTTGACATCCCCAAGATGCTTACGGCGCGCACGTGCCGGAGATTCTGCTGCGCGAGGTCTACATCGACAAGCAGGAACGTCACCTGTTGCTGAGGTAGGCTTTCTTTATCTCTGCCTAGAGTCAAGGGTCTAGAGCAGACGGAGCATGCAAGATAGCTCAGGCTTTGGTCGGCGTTTACTCTAGATAGTCGAATTATGTCAAAGCAAGCATGCCTGCAGAATATATGCCCTGTTCCCAAGATCACATGACCATAGTTGCGATAAAGCTCCAATTTGCCCCGCCATGCCCCCAGATAGGAGTTAGAGTCGTCAGGACGCATCTTAGCAAACAGCAATGCAAATGACGCCAATGACGCAACAAGAACAGCAATAACAGCAATCAGACTACTGTAACTTGAAACAGCTTCCTCATGTTAGCACAATCCGTTCCCCCTGATATTATATAGATCCCTCCTAATATTGAATATTAAATTCAGGGGCCTTGAAGCAGCTTGCTCATTTTGGCTGTGTTGCTATTCATCAGTGGGTGGCCGGGCTAAATTAACCTCAGGACATCCAGTTCCAGGCGGGCTGGGAGACAGGCCGCCAGTCGGAGCCTGCCTTCATGGACATGAGCCTTAGACTGGGGTTTAGGGTTTAGGGGTAGGGTATATCTGGACCCCAAAAGGATGTAAAACAATGGCCTTCGTGGCTGCTATTATGGGTTTAGGGTTATTAGTTTATATACTTGTTGGGTTTGGGTACAAGTGATTCCGGTTTACGGTGGCAATGGTCTACTGGCTTCGGCACGTCTTTCGGGTTGCTGTATGAGATTGCAGAGGTACAAGGAAGCTGGAGGTGGGAAATGACCTTACCTGAAAAGGATCGTTTTAAGGGCTGTATAGGGTCTAGGGTCCAGGGTTGTACAGGCGACGGCGGCGATGCTAGGTGATGTTTGGGTATTCTACGGGCATATAGGGATAAAGTTTAGGATTGCGGTGTCCATTTGAAGAAGAACTACTCGCATGGGGGATGGTCTTTGGCATCTTCCACTCTGGAGCACCACTAGTGCCGTTATGGTAGATGTTAAGATGTCTATCACATACATACAGATGCCTCTAGACATGGTAGAAGCGCGTGTAAAACTTGTGCAAGAGATATGTAAACCAAAGACTGGGCAGTCTTGAGGGCTGGCATCTGAGACCTGTCCCACAGTTGGCAGAGAGAAAAGGGTATAGGGTTTAGGGTACAGGGCCTGTTTTGGGGAGTCCCTATATAGGTTCAGAAGCCTAGCCGTACAGTTGGAGCATATGAGGGGGGGCCTAATCCAGAGACATTGGGAAAGATTAATTTTCAGTGCCATCCACTCGAATCAAAATCAAATCCCTTCAGTCGGTTGAAGGGAAGCTGCCGAAGAAGCTGGGACTGTCAAAGCTACACGAAACACATGGGGGTGGTTGGCAAAATCATGATCCGTTTTTGGGTACCCTAAATACTATGTGCCGTATTATAATAGGGATCCAAAGAGGGACCATAATTTTGACGACCACCCATGGGGCTGCATTACACAATGGCTCCAAACAGGGATCCCTTCCGCAAATTGTGCTTCTAGTGGAGTAGCAGATATGGGGGGTGTCCCGAACACTGGTACCCGTTGTATGGATGGAGGGCGGAAGCAGACGCCTGAACATTTAGCAGGGCTTGGCCTTGTGTCGTTAGACCCGACAAGTCTGGCTTAGAGAGGGGTTTCTGGGTGCATTGCCATGCCCAGGCACTCATGCACGCACAGTATGAGTGCAGGGGAAAACGCTTTAAAGTCAAGCATGGGGTCTGGGCTCAGCCTCACGCAGCCGACATGCTGTCCAAAGGAACCTGCATGCGGTCAGAGACGAGAGCAGCAATCCACGAGCCTCTCGCCACACTTTTCCAAGGGTTGCTGTCAGCACCATCACAAGTATTGTTACAGGATGTATTGCTGGCAAGAGTGAACGATAACCAACGCTGGCCATTGGTTGATCCTTGCTCTGGTCGACATGTCAACATTACCGGCGGGCTTTGCCTTGCCACATTCTAGGCTGTGTACTGAGCGGCACTAGGACCTGCACCTCATCGTCAAAAGCAACATATTGGTTGGCCTGCGCAAGAAATCCAGAAACCAAAGCGTTCGCACAGAAAGCCTCTGCATTGGCAAGGGCATCCCATCTGCTTTGTCAGCAGACTTGCATGTTGACTATGATAGTCTACCATCCAACCCCATGCCATCTGTTATTTTTTGGAAAGCTTCCAGCCTTCCTAACTGACAGGCCCAAAGCCGGAGTTGCAACTATGCCAACACGAGTCCACCCCATTGAAAACCACCCTGTACTGTGTGAAAGGCCAGCACAACGGGGCACAGCAAGCCTCAACAGTCCTCAACACGCCCTGGCTGGCACGACCCTTCATGGTCGCCGAGTATCCCTACAATCTGTTAGTGGTTGGGTGTGCCGATGCGTGTTTTGCAACCCCGCAGTCCCAAGCTCGTCGTGCCGATGAGGTAGTGCTCTTCCAGTATGACGCTACCAACCCCATGAATCCTCATGCTCTCCTGATTGCGTATGCTGAGGAGTGGGCTCCACAAGTTCCACAAACATCACATTGTAGCAGTAGGACCATATTTGTTCTGGATACCACGAGTACTATGTCCGTTACCCTTATCATTGTCACCCCTCTGAACAATGGTCGATCGCGAGGATGAGTAGCTGGCCTTTTTCTTGCCTCAGTTTTCTGTGGCAATGTAGAGCCAATAAACATAAACCATATCATACGAATTTGCCTACAGATGCCTTGTTGTTCTATGTGTAGTCGGGTTTCCTCTTCGACTCGTACAGGACTGGACTTGTTGGGAGGCTCGAGGCGGGGTCTTCAGCAGTTGGCATCTTTGGACTGCCTTCGGCCAACAACTTGGCTAAACACAACATTGTCAATTAGTGGTTGCCTCGCACATCCTCGTCTGCGCCTAGACCCTCTTTCAGCAAATTAGTTAGCAGGTCTGGAAGTTGAGCCCCATTGGCCCTCGAAGGTTTCGTTCTTCAAACCATATGCAGGTCTTGTAAGTAGGGGCTCAGCGGCCGCAGACCTGAAGCCTCGAATATTGCAACAGAAATCTCAGAATGATGCCTTCCAAGTTTTTTCCTTCAACTGAAGTCTAGATGGACCATTTCTTCGCAGCGAATAGGCTGCGTCGCAGCAACAGGACCTACCTGACCGGGCTATCATCAGTCTAGCCCCTGTCATTCGCATGTAAAGCTCCGAGACACTAGTTTAAGCTGCAAGCAGAGATCCGAAATGTCGATGATCAAGCCCTCATCCCCAAACGACAAGACCAAACCTCAAGCCTAGCGTCCCAAGCCATGCGACATGGCACCCGGAACCCGAAACATCCTCAAACCAACATCGCCTCAATAGCATTCAGACTTTGAGTTCTGGCAGGAGTGGAGGATGCCCAACAGCAGCAAAGTAGTCCGAACTGTGAAGCCCGTGGTCTCCGATTTCGACACTTTCACGGTGGGCTCCCGGGCTGCTTTACTGCTTGGATCTTTGGCCCTGGGGTTAGGCGTTCATAGGATGAGAGAAGCTGGCTTATACGATCATGGAGATGGTATTTTAGTACGAAGAAGTACTTTGCGGGGTGTGCCCCGCGAAGCATGGTCTCAGCATACTGTAGTCCTGACATGCAGGCCCGCTCCTGTGGGAAGGTGAAAACTCCGGCTTCCAGGCTTTGACTATGCTTCGGCTTTACTCCTCCAATTGCAGTAGTTCAGCGCCTCGGGCCGTTGCTACAGTATTCCGAGCGGCAACATTCCGTCAAGATTTGCCTTTCATGGCAGGTTGGACGTTGGGGGGCTTGTGCCCAAGTTTCTGAATACCATGGAAACCTGAGGAGGGGGCGTGCATGTCTCTGAAATCACGGCTCCGCTAGGGGGAATGTAACATTGATTTGATGTTGAGCCTTTCCTATACACTCCCTATTGGGCATCCCTGCCCATCCCACACGTCAAAGTAACTAGCAAGAATCGCAGTTGCACACCATCGAAATATTAGACATCAGCATGCTCCCTAGTATCATAAAGCCCCCAAATCTGAACAAATGCTCCCAAGCTGACTCAACCCTAGACCCTAAAGCTTTAAACCCTAAACCCTAAAGCCCTCCACAGCAGGGTTTGTGGAGCTGCTGAGGCAGTCGGGGAGTGCGGTATGAGCCTTTGCCGCCCGAGCAGATTGAGCTGGAGCTGTGGAGCCTGGACCAGACAAGGCTTTTTGGGGCTTAGGGGTTAGGGTTTACTTGGAGTTCTGCCCCTTCTCCCTGGCGGACTCAGGAAGCCTGTTGGAAAAAAGGGTTAGATCCGGTTGGCTAGAAAGAGCATCAAGTTTGTCCTGGTTTCCGACAACCGTTTACCATCAGCGTTGTCAATTCTGATCTCCACGTACGACTTAGGATGACTCAGTGTTTTAGCAGTCCCCCCATATCTTTCCTGAACTGCTTCGGTCTCCGGAATCCTCAACATAGTTGGGGTAGAATGTATAGGAGAATGGAAAAGGAAGTGGAAACTACTATTTAGGGTCGAATTTGCTTCCGTCCCAGCAAGTTACTGTAGGTTTTACAGACTATTGTGCCGCTCATGGCCAAGCGAGAATCCAGTCCAGGTGAAACCGATGTCGGTTTAGGGTTTTCGCCAGCTCCCTCTGCTGGCCAGAATTTTTGCAAACCCTGTATCCTTAAACCCAGCCCCAAACCCTGTGTTCCTAAACCCTATATATCCCTAAACCCTAAACCTGATAAGCCCTGTAAATTTGGACCCCAAACCCTGCCTTTCCCTAGGCGCACATTTCCCTAGGCGGACTAGGGTTTAGGGCTAAGGGGTTTAGGGTTCCCGAACCCTGCAAGACCACATCAACGCCAAAACGTATACATCAAAGTGATTCAAAGTGTCCAAAGCTTACCTAAAGCTAAGCTTACTGGGGTTAGTAGGAAATAAGGGAGAAGAATCTCTGTATACTCCACGCATAATCTATTCCCACATTCCCTACAGGGCACCAGTAAGTAAGTTGTACGCGCGGGCAGGGAAATCCTCAGCCAACCTGGCTCCGAATCGTGGACTTCGCGTTGGCTGAAGGCTTGCTGGTTGTCCACGAGGTTTTGGGTATAGGGTTTAGGGTTTTGAGAATAAGGAATGGGGACATGGAAGCTACCAGAAGGTTGGGTGTTGAGGGTTTAGGGTGCTTAGTGGGGAGTCAAGGAATTGACAAAAAAAGAGCACAGCTACTATGTTTACGGGGGGCTTAACTTAAGCAGTAACAGGCTACTATAGGATCTACGATAATGATGCATCTCTCCATATCCTAACTAAAACAAGTATCAAAGCAGGATGAAGCCTCGCAAGGTCCGGTCAGATTTGGGTTTGGGCTTTCGGATTATAGGCCCCTTTAAGTAGATAGAATATGGGTTATTAAAATCTACCCAAAGCCATATCCTATCTACTTAAAAGGGACCATAAGGGAGGAGGGCTTAGGGCTTTGTAGGGGCATGCAGGGGTGTCGGGCAGGCCTTCAACGTTGGAATTTGAAGGCTCGGGCTACTGCTAGCAGTTACAAGGGGATCATGTACAGATGTTAACCCCCCATACCTCCGTAAACCCTAAACCCTAATCCCCCCTAATCCTAAGCCCCTAAACCCTAATCCCCCCTAATCCTAAACCCCTAAACCCTAATCCCCCTAATCCTAAACCCCTACACCCTAAGCCCTACTGAAGCTTCATGCCAGGTGCTGAGCGAGGCCGATAAGCAGGGCCGCCACTTTCACATCCCTCCGCAGCCTTGTCCGCGGAATTTAGGGTCTATAGCCTAAACCCCCCAAAAGTATGTAAAATAATGGCCCTAAACCCCCAAAAGCATGTAAAATGATAGCCCTAAGCACTCAAAAGTATGTAAAATGATAGCCCTATACCCCAAAAGTATGTAGAATAATAGCCCTAAACCCCCAGGAGTATGTAAGATAATAGCCCTGAACCCGCAACAGCACCCATCAAGGCCATTGATTTTCATACTTTGGGGGTCTACGGTTTATGGCTTTGGGATATTCATTGTGTGTCCATAAGGGGGACCCCAATATAGACCCCTATATATATTACAATCCTTATCGTAGGGACCTCCAAAAAGGTACCCTCTAATCTTGGTAAACCCCCATTTGGGAAGGGATCCTACTTAAAGGTCGCAAGTGATTCGAGTGCAAGCAACTGTTTTTGGACCCGGGGTGTTCCACATGCGTGGTGCGTCATGGTCATGTATTCTTTGTGGTGGTTTGTAGGGAATAATGGAATCATGGGGTATGATCTCTATGTAATCCCTATATGATATATTCCCTTCTTCCCTCTCAGCCCCAGTATTTTTTTGGTGTGGAGCGTTCAGGGGGTATAAGGCGTAGTTGGGGTTTCAGGTACGCTTTAGGGTTTCCCTGGACCCGGTAGAAGTGGTATCATGGGCGGAAAAGAGGACCCTGATATAGTTGCTACTTTCCCTTATAGTCACTATAACTGGGTGGCAGTCCTTCTAATGTATGCCGTATATATACTCCTTATACGGCATTTGAGGAGGTTTTGAAGCGAGTTGCCAGTTACATTGTTTTGCTCTCAAGTCGTTGTCAAATTGCTCAGGTATGGGTTTGGTGACCCCACGTCGTATGGTCTGATCGAGCAGGTTGGGAGTGCATCATCTGAGCATTGCCACGACTATCTTAGATATTGCGGCTCTCGTCGTGGCTGCTGTTCCATGATCAATTGAATCACAATGTTCAGGTTTTGTGATTTATCCACGGAGAAACTTATGTTCCAGTGGCTCGGATGGGGGAATGGCATGGGCGACCATAATCTGTAAGAAAGGAGTTCCGCTATGTCTGACACAGTGATTGTTGATTGCCTTTTCATCCCTGTCGTAGACGCTAGCACATGATGCCGAATGACAAGTCTTGTGGACATAGCATCAAGTTCAGGACAATTATAGGTACAAGGGAGGAGTGCCCCATGTAGATCATATATCCGAAACATGTGTTCCCACCCCACCCCTGAGTAAAGCCATATGCGCTCCCACCTGCCTGCAGAAGCCTGGATCACGAGCATCAGCTGGGGCATCCCTGTCAAAGAGCCCCAAGCCGGCCAGCATCATAAGCATCAGCCAGGCCGTCCTTTGGTAATAAAGCCTCCAAGAAGGTCGGCACCGCAAGCATTCTTTGGGGTCTTTCGTCAAACAAGCCACATCGAGACCATCAGCTGGAGCGTGCCTCACCGAAAGACCCCTAGCCGACCGCATCATGAGAATCAGCTGGGCCGGCGCGGTGGCCTTTTCTTCACCCCAGTACACTTTTGCGGTAGAAGCACTTTAGAACTGTGTCTCACAGCGGGTGCCAAGCAGTTCGAGAACCTCGAAAATTTAATTCTCTCCCTGGCAGGTGATCAAAGCCACCCAGGTATCTGGTGCAGTCCGCCATGGCGCAGAATGCTTCAACTTCTTCTTCCCGCAGGCCCCTGCGCGATAAGGATGGTGTTCGAAAACATTGTTTTGTAGAAGCATGCTTGTGCTGCTGCTGGCTACGGTGCTGGTGAGGGTACTGGTGCGGGTGCCGGTGCTGGTGCTGTTGCTGGTGCAGCAGCAGGAGGAGGAAAAACAGTACAGTACGATAGTACGATAGTATTACTACTAGCTCCTCGGCTTCTTCTATTAAACGAGTACTAGAAGTCACTAGTACTGCTATTGTTGGCAGCACCTACTTACGGCAACATGTTCCTCCCTGCCTACCACACCAGCTCGCAAAGGAGTTGGATACTGAGTATCTGATCGTTTGGCATGGCTTCAGTGGCAAGCCCTGGGAGCCTTGCCAGGTGCTGCCGGAGGTTGACTGGCGATGTAGGGGCCTAAAGCCTAAACGTGCCGATATTATGGACTTAGATCGCTCCTACAATTCTGATACTGGGTACCTCGCATAGACCTGAACATGATGTTCGTAGTTCTTTATGATTCTTTATGCTTTAAATGATGCGAGCTAGGTGCTGGACGGACAGTAATTATGTGCAACCTTCAGGGATACGCAATCTAGAGTCTTACTTCGGGTCAGGGAGCTGTTTCTGACATAGCCTCTCTTGTAGAGAAAGCCAGCAACATGCACCAAAGTTGACAGCAAGTCTGCGTTGCAGTTGATCTGACGAGGGAACTCAGCACAGACCCTTGCCGTTGCGAAGGCGCAGACGATTTCCCTTTTGCAATTTTCAGCCCAGGAATACCACGATCGGGCAGGTCTTCTGAATTTCCTCCATCAACGCATCGCTGAGGGGCACCTTGTACAAGAGCCAAGGGCCAAAGGTTGAAATCTTCACCTCATGAGGACTTTCAGAAGAAAGGTGGTCATTCTGTATTGGGTGTCCTTGCTTCTGGAAAGCCCCATTCTGGGAAATGTCTGTTGGAGCCATGACCTTGGCAAGGTCCCTTATCAGTTTTTTAATATAAGATTTTGTTTCCTGCAGCAGGCGTTGGGAGTTTCGTTTGGGATCTGATCAGGTTGGCGGATTGGTTTGGACATGTTGATGGCGATAGCAGAATTGTTTGTGCATGCCCAATGTCTCCCAAGCAGTGCTTCAGGTTTGGAATCGTTTCGAAGAGATTGAACCATGATGGAGTCCAGCCACCCCCTATCCTACACTATCGTCCGAGGGCCCTTCTATCAGACGAGTGTGTGCCCTTGCTCACATTTCTGGAGACAAGGGGAGCCTGTGAGATACTAATAAGGGAGTGAAGCTGAAGTCACTGTGATCATGCGACCCTCAACCATGCATGCTGAAGAGCACGCAGACATTAGGGGTCCTTTCCCTGTAAGCACTCTAGTGGCTGTTTTGGATCACGCTTGAAGGTACAGCTTTCCTCTGAACCCTGTTTGGGCAGTGCGTGATCATGGCTGGTACGAGGCCTTCCTGGAAAGGTTTTTGTCTTCTGCGTTTTGTGGTTGTCAGGGCTGGGGCTTAGTGAGCTGCAAGAAAGCGCGTCAGACATTCTCAATTAACTGATCACTTTGAAATTTTGCTTGCTCCGTGCAAGCGCCACGATGGTTTTTTGAGTTGGTAAAAAAGCCATAGTCACGCAGCTCATACATTTGTTTCGCAGACGCGCAGAACCAACTTTGGCTTCCCGTAGCAAATAAGATGACCTGTCCTTGTTCTGCTGGAGAAAGGGGTCTTGTGTAGGCGTTTTTTCATCACGGCATCTTCGCACAGCGGTGCATTTCAATGACCCAAGAACACATGCCGGTCAGCAGGGAGGCATTGCGTTGAACATCAATCGCCCAAAACGGCACTGAGACACTTGGTGAATTAGCTTAGCTTGAGGCCTTGAGTTTCAAAGATCTAGAGAAGATTAAGGTCTCCACTCGTCCATCGCCACTAGATTCATTAACCCTCGACCGTACGCCTAAGCCCTATTTAGATAACCATAACAAGTCTTGTTCGATCCAACAGCCTCCACTCCGGCTGGAAGCCATCGGATTTCTGGCCTGCAGCTTCAATGCTTGAATACTTCGCCACTTGGGGGATAGGTTGGGTCCTGCCTCCACCCATTAACAGTCAGGGGATAGGAAATTAAGTGAAGATACCATAATGGAAAAGAAGATGGAACATGGTGTTTGAGCAATTACCCATAGCATCCCTGATATACGTTGTGTAAGTATAGAAGAACACAGCCAACGGCTTTAGTCGGATTTGTTATTACATTATCTCAGCAGCCTAGCATTTGAAGAAGCATTCAGTCAATTCAATTAGGCATGGGACAGATGCTAAAAGATGTAGTGGGTTCAGGATGGATACGAAATGAAGGACGCGAGCGGACGGCTCCCGTTGTGCTTTGAGCTGGCAAACAAAGACTTGGCAAATGGCTTATAAGCCCGAATGGCCTGATTCTTCGTAGACTGAGAATTCCCGGCTTGAAGCTAGAGGCTTCAAAGCCCTGAGTCAAGAAGCTCTTATAGCTTGGATATTGCCCCCACCCATAGCAGTCCCCGAATCCTGTCACCGTACCAACATTCTTCCGCAACAAGGGTCCCGGTCCCATGTATGATTGCAATCTGGCTCTGCAGCAACCAACCCTTCATACAACAACATGTTGTTGCTAAGCTTAGCATTGGGGGAGGAATCTTCACAGAGTGATAAGTCCGACATTTTCTCTTCCTCGGCGTTTATACGCGGCCGTTGTGCTAAGTGATTAAGTCTTCGGGCACCAGACGCATGCCAATCCATTCCAGGGATTAAGGTGGACATGGCATTAGGGCCCCTAGGGTGACATGAATTTGGTTCTTGCAAGGGGCCCAAAAATAACAGTGGCATGCCTGTGCAAGGCATGTTGATACTTAGCGGCTCCAAGGGACGGAGCTTCAGCATCTCTGCCACTATCCTGAGCAACGTTGTGACAGTTCTTATGAACCCTTGAGCGACCAAGGTGATCATATTGCCTACCCTAAAGCCGAAAAATTGAGGCATTTGATTTTCAGAGTAATGTGCAAGCCTGACCCTTTTATACAAGTATAGCATAGTATACTCCAATCATCCCCAAACCCTGTTCAAAATATCTAACCCCCGCCCCCCCCCTACATGTGCACCTTTGTCGTCAGGTCCACTCTGCACTCGTGGCTAGTCAGGCTCCGCTTTTGGAGGGGGGTTGCGTAAGAGTCTACCCTCACACTCCCCCACATTAGTATGGAAACCTAAACCTTAGATCCTAAGCCCTAAATCCTAAACCCTAAATCCTAAACTCTAAATCCTAAACCCTAAGCCCTAAATCTAAACCTAAATCTAAAACTCTAGAACCTAAACCCTAAACCGCCACCTACACCACCGTTTATTACAAGGCAGTCTTTCTGGGTCCTGTTTGGGTGTCCATGTTAGCTTCGGAAAGTGTAACGCTTTTTGTTCCGGGTTGCTAGGGGGTTTAGGGCTTAATGCAGGTTTCTGCGCATTGAACCTCTGCTTAAGCTACTACTACAGTTTGTGCCCGTCACCCTAGAATAATCCCGTGGTCAAGAGCTTGATCTGTTTTCTTCGCTCCCATTTGGTACATGCGGGTTTTTCATTCGAAGGAAATTAAAATCTTCCAGCAGGCTCTGCGCATCCCTCGGGTCCTGCAGGGTATCTAAAGCTGTTTCGAGAAGCCACTGTAATTGATTTCCTTTCTTTGGATGAATCCGATCTACAACTGTTTCGTGTTGCCTGCTATTGGTGAAAACAGGCAGCAAGGGCTCATGCTGGATTTGCGTGTTGGTTCACTCGCCCTCATTGGGTGCGGCTATTCATCATACACACTATGAGCGCCGGGTGTCAATGTTGTACCAGCATTTTAGCCAATTTCCCATCCTGTCATCCTGTTCTGTCCAAAATATGGACAAGTTGCACATGCACAATATGCGTATGCTTCAACCAAGTCTGGTACTCCAACACCCACTTCACTACACATAATTCTAAGCCCCCTACTTTCGCTCAGCCAGTAAGTTGTGAAGTATAGGGGCAGGACAAGAATAAACAGTCACCAGAATACCCAGTCCTACATTTTGAAGCATGACAATTTCTGATACTGTCACCGCGGCAATTTCGATTACTAGTGGATGGAGGAAATGTTGCTTCATATACACCCTATACCCTGGGAATGATAGCACATTAGGGAACCTAAGTGATGCAAGACTTCCCTCATCCACTGTATAACAAGGGGCCTCAGCTCCCTCAACTCCTAAAACGCAAGACCCCATACTTGGAAGCAGGAAGAGTCTTAGCGAAGCCAATCGTAGCAACAAGTGTACAGCAAGGATTTCTGTGGCGTGCTTGCATAGTTCATTCGTCTCAGTTGTGCAGTCACAAGTTCGTGTTCTAAGTATCCGATGATGAAGTGTTCTGCTCCCTCTTCTTGCGAAGTAGATAAACAATGACAATGGGGCAAAAAGGTGTGCAATGCAAATGCGGTCTTGTGGCCAACGGATTGAAGTGGCAGCCGATAGATTTCGAAGATTGGGGCATGTGAAGGCTGCGAGGGCAAGGGTTTAGTCAGCAGTGCCCAGAGAGGGCCCGATCAAGGCGGAGGTCAGAGTTGACCCCCACCACAACAAGGGCTAGGCCTCAACTGGCCTTTGGTTAGCTAGGAATGAAGGAATGAGTCCATATAGTAGCCCCTGTATAGCCCACTATAGTAGTTTCCATGTTTTTTTGTATCCCTTAACCAAAGGCCAGGCAAGGATGAGGTTGTGCAAGTCAAGCTGATAGGCGGCGAGGGGAACTGTGACGTCTTGGCTGTCCGAGGAGGCGATCTCGCGCATTGAGTTGCATGGCTGCAGATATGGGCGATTTTGAAGCATGCAGTTTTGGTGGTCCCAATGGCAAGAGCTATATTTTGTTGGCGGTATGATAGGGACCCCTACTGGGAGAAGTACCCCCCACCTGAACAGAATGGGTTCCAAGAATGGCTTGAAAAGCATTTTGCAAGTAGAGCCCCTACCCTCTTGACATAGACATGCGATTTCCGAGTCTAGTGTTAAACCTTTCTGCTCGATGAGTCCGAGGGAGCAGACCAAGAAGCCAGAAATCACAGGTGTCAGAGCACAGCCTGTGTATAGAGCTTCTGTATTTGTATTGACTGTATATAGGTATCCTGAGAATTTCTTTAATCGGACATACTACGAGAAGTACACTGTGTTCTCTGGCAAAGGTGCCTTCACCGAGATTTCCCTGATGGATTTCGCGTGCTGGAGACTAGCGAGTCCAGCCAGCCAGGGAAGAGGGAGGATCTCGATCAGGAGGCGCTGGGCTGAAGTGTGGGCTTGATGGGTTGTAGGGTCTTGGGCTCAGGCTCTGAAATGGCGGTTGCAGGTCTTTGGGGCGTTTGGCGTTCGGGCTGCCAACCTCCCTAGATGTGAGCTTGTCAAATTGTCAACATCGTCCTCTGCGTATTTCCGCCATGTAGGCTTCAGAGTTGTGGTGGTTTGGCTATTTCTAGAAATTCGCAAGCCCTGCCTTTATGTGACAAGAGATCAAAAGCGGAAGACGCTGTACCGGGTAGAGAGTAGGTGCTGTTGTCACGAGTTGGGCTGCTCATGCCTCTGCTTGACTGCTTTTACACACGGGTTCGCGGGGGACCCGTAAAAGAAGGTTGTTGGAAACCTTGGGCGACTGAGGGGTTACATGCGCGTTCGTGAGGGGACGAGGTCCACTGTGGACAAGAGGGATCCCCTTTGGCAGCCCTAAACCCAAGAACTATAAGGACGCCTTGTTTCCTTCACACTC